ACACGCTAAAAAAAATTATTTAAAATTAAAAATGCCATACTGTACACGCTGACTCAGCCTCCGGCGAGCCACGTCGGCGTAAAAAATTAATAAAAAATGCCACGTCGGATTTCCGGCCAAATTGGCACTAAAGTGATCTCTTTTGCTCCGACTTAGCACCAAAGTGATCCGAAAAAAAGTTATGGCACCAAAGTGATCGCCGTACACAAGCTTATCGACTTTACAGATTTCTTTTGCATAAATAATGTAGGAATCGGCCCACATATATTTGTTAGGTTTGGAAAAGTTGGAACGTACGAAATGATAAAGATGAACCCGAAATTCTACAAACAAACGAGCACAAACATCACGTGATGGATGAATCATTACAAGGACGATAAATGAAAGCAGCATTGACCAGCAACAAGCAATTATTTCACGTAGCTATTACGTCAACTAATCCATGAGCTAGAGGATGCCAGAGAAACTCAATTTAATTTAAAATGATGTTCGATCCAAGTATCTTCGAATCCTGCATATCTTTTTAGTGTTGAAAGTTGAAGCGTAATAGCTAGAGGTTAGTTTATTTTATTGAATTGATACGTGTGTTTTAAATAGTTTATTCATTAAACTAACACCTCTGTTCAAAATATATTTGTTTTGAAACACCACGTTTGTTATGCTACTCTCGAATCTCTTATTCATCTAGTCTAAGACAAATAGATCTGACAATTAGGGTAACTCTATTATTGCATGACAAAACATTTTTCTTCAAAATTGTTTAGATGGTATGCGTTTTTGAAGTAGCATGTTCTTAAAGTTCGCACGAATAGGCACCTCTCTTTGAAAGAATACATTTGAATAGACATTTCTTTTTCGCATTTATAGAACTAGTTTAGATGAATATATTTTTTAAATAAAATAAATGCAGACACCTCTTCTCAAGACAATATGTTCTAATAGATACATTTCTTTGTATTTCCAACAGTAATCTAGATGGTGTTTGTTTTTGTATAGTATGTATACTAGGTGATCTGCATTTCCTCTTCTTTTTGAAATTGAATACGTCGCGCAATCACATTAAATTTTACTACGCTCTACTTCATGTATAGAATGATCTCTCATACATGAGTTCTTTTCTTCCTTAAGACAAAGCTTACATCGCAAACCTTTGAGTTCATGACATTCTTCATTTCCATTATTATTTTTCGATATCAATGTTGCATGAGCATTTGCCTAATTCGCTAAGGATTATTATTTTATTCAATACCAATGTAAATTTTTCTAATGGATACAACATTGAACATGTGACATGTCTGTTTTGAGATAGCTGTGTAATAGAAACCATCAACAAGTTAAATATCCAATGAAGTGTAAATTATTTTTTATATTGATAGTAGACATAATGAAAATTCTGTGAACATATATTTTCTTTATGTTTCAATCCTACTATTAAATCAATGAATAACCAACAAGCTACATCACATGTATCACTCTACAAATCATCCAACCCTTTATTAATCAGTCGATGCTTAAGATTTATGTGCTTATCTTTTTGTTTCATTATGTTCATATATTTTCTTTGGTAGAGCATGTCGCCGCACCTTGGCCATCTAGGTTCCATCCCAAATTGCACCAATTTGGGTACGAACATCTTGCCACACCTTGACTTCATAGCTAAATTGCTTCTCGTGCTTTAGAAAAGCATCCTAATACAGCCAAGTCTTAAGCTTAAGACCGTCAAAATTATGGAAAGGATATTTTGTTCATTATTCACAGTAGATATGGAAGTAGCAATTAACACTTCGTTCAACATGGAAAAAAATCATATACTTTACCCAAAGAAAAAGGATTTAAATGGATTTGTCAGCCACAAGCAGGTGCGAGCGAAAGAGGGGGACGGGAGGGGGAAGAGAGGTCGGTCCAACCTAGTGACCAGTGGTGGTGGCGATTGTCATGGCTTTGACAGTCGCTTGGCATCACTAGCGACAAGACACCTTGAAGCTGAGGAGGAGAGATATTTGTGAATAGTGTTTAGTTGCATGATAACAATAACCTTATAATCCAGAGAACTTATAATTTCAATCAAATTATATTGTATTTATTATGAGATCATTAGCACTCTCTCAGTCACACGCTCTATATATTACTTTATCTCTATCTCTTTTCTCTATAGATGTCTTCAACTCGGTAAAAGTTTTGCTAGTTGTTACAATGACAAATAAATGTAAAGATGTTAGACTCAGGATGTAAAGAACAACTTTGGGGGATCTGATCTGTAATTATGTCCATATTAGGGGGTGCAAATTTCTAATTTTTTATAATCTTGTCTAATCTTTTATGCGTGCAGCAACACTGTGCGCTACTGTACATAATAAAGAGAGATTGAGTGAGACTTAAAATGAAAAGACTCTCTCCCTAAAGAAAAACGATGGGTCTATGGGGCTAGAATTGAGAGGAGGTTTTGGATAAGAACTAATAATGTGTGAACCCTCACCAGCAAAAAGTTAAGACAACAAAGACTAACTTGGTCATTGTCGGTCGGCTTACTTTAAGATCAAAAGAAGCTTTATCAAACGCGTGCATCAATATCACCAAACAATTTCATTGGTGGAAATATGATATGAAATGCAGTAAGATAAAGTGTTAGTAAAAGCAGAGAAATGAAAATGATAGTTCTCAACATTTTTCAATATGAACTAATAATGTGGGAACCCTCACCAGCTAAAAAGTGAAGACAACCAAGGCTAAATTGGTCTTTGTTGGTTACCTCACTTTAAGATCAAAGCAGCTTTATCGATGGTGGGATGCACAACATCGAAGTGATGAAACAATTTCTTCAGTGGAAGTATGATGTGAAATGCAGCCAGACAAAGTTCTAGTAAAATGAGAGATGAAAATGATGGTTCTTATCATATTACTCTCGTTGGTGCTCTGGATTTTTCAGCGCTACCTCTTTTAGAGATTTTCACAACATTACTCTTAAGCTCCTGTTGGTGGTGAACGCTTATGGCCCAGATATTGAGGAGAGAGATTTCAATTATCAACGAAGTATAAGGAGTCCAGTTACACCAAACCCAACTTCAATCTGGAGCCTGTCCAGTTTAACTTCACCTGGAGGTGGTGTGACATGGCTTTGATCAAGGTGTATTGCTGACCATTTCGATTAGAGAAAGGGAAAGGGTACCTCGCCTGTTTGAGTTAAGAGCTGGAACGATTGCAGAGTAGATTGAATCTTGAATGAAGGGGCAGTTATTGCAGGACAAGCGATTACCTTGGGAGTAACTTAAATCGTGGAAATAGAGGAAATCATGGAAATGTGGAGCAGTTAGAGAGGGGATCACGCATGAATTCCAGTGATCGTAAATGAAAATCCCAAGAGTATATATCAAAAGAACATAGAGAAAGAGGCGACGCTCAAATTGTCCCATAACTCTACCAAATTTTCCTCGTGATAATTGTCGAAAAAAATCCTAAACCTATTGTACGGCGTTCAATCTAGTCCTAAACCTTAATTTAGTCATATACCTTTCTTGTTAATTTATTCCTAAACCTTCAATTGAGTCAATTTAGTCCTAAATCTTATCTAAATCTTATAATGATTTGCCAATTCAGTTTTTCCAGTCAATTTTGGTCAGAAATCGTTGACATGGTGGTCTAGTCGGTTTTGGTCATCCTACCTGGTACAGTCGGCATTGATGTGGTAAATTTTTGTAATTTTTCTGATTTTTTTTGTTTATTTCTTCTTTTTTCTTTTCTTTTCTTTCTTTTCTTTCTCAAACTCTGGGCTGGCCAGGTTGCTAGCTAACCCTCACCTAGATCTTTGCAAGGGCATGGGCTAAGGCCGCAACGCCCTCACCCAGTGCCGACGAGGGTCACCGGCCTCATTTAAAAAACAAAAGAAAGAAAAGAAAAGAAAAGAAAAGGAAAAGAAAAAAATGGAAAAAAACGTAAAAATTGCATAAATTATCCAAGTTAGCGCCGGTTGTGCCATGTAGACGCCCGACAATCACGTCGGCTATTTCCTGTAAAAAAAAAAAGCTAGATGGACTATATTGGCAAATTGTCAAAATGTTTGGACTAAATTTGTCATATTGAAAGGTTAAATATCGAATTGGCACAAATACAATAAATTTAGTTTTTCTTTTGGTAATTATCCCAATAAATTCTAGTACTGTAATTAAGGGAGTTTATTACTAACAACAGGGAGTTCTTAAAAAAAAAACAAGAGTGCATTTATATCATGGAAAATCAATGATTTGGAAACTATTCTTTTAAAAATGATTTTTTTATCGCTAAGAAAAATTAGTCAATGAAAAATATTTTTATTATCATCCACAATCTATGCCTAAACATTTTTCCTAATGATGAACAGATTTTCATTAATATATTCATTGTTTGGAAGCAACACAAACTATTCTACTTTAGGAAAATGTTTTTCATATCATCGATTTAACGCATAATAAATGCACCCAAAATAAGAATATATGTGACATTTCAAATTTCGGCTTATTTTTGGGATTTATAAAACGTGTAATTCGTCAGTGCGCTTATAATAAAATCTCGCCCGGAACTGATCACTCTTAAATTATTATTTTTAAATTAGAGATTTCGCTAAAATCGCACTCGATCGAATTTGGCCGTTATTTAGAGCCCGAACTTTGGTGACGAATTTCTCGGAGTTTCGTGATAAATTTAATTGGACGGTGTCAATATTATTGTAGCCAGCGTCGATATTGCCCGGAATTATCGAAAAATGAAATTTGAATCGGGTGCGAATTTTGATTAATATACCTCCCTCTGAATTTATTTTATTTAATGTCTTTTTTAGCCTTTTTTTAAATTTAAAATCTGAAATTTTCGTAGCCGTAGGATCTTGGCTCGGCTCACCAAGATCAAATGAGAGCCTCAAGAGGATTGGGTAAAGTGTTTGACCTTCTCTTTCTTTCTCTCACGATCGTCCCCTCCCCTCTCTTCTTCTGGTTCGGCCGAGTTCTTCCTCCCTCCTCCGCACGCCGCAGCTCGTCCGGCCGCCGCACGTCGTCCGCCGTAGCCGCCGTCTGGCCGCTCGTCCCAGCCCGGGCCGCCGTCCGCCGCTGCTGTCCTCCTCGGACCCAGCTGTTTCTTCTTCCTCCTCTCCTCTTCGTGGACGCCCGACCAGCAGCTACCGCAGCTCGTCCTTCCGCCGCGCGTCGTCCGCCGCGGCCGCCGTCCATCTGGCCCGTCGCCGCCGTTGCTGCTGCTGCTCCGGCGAGACCCCCGGTTCCCCCTTTCCCTGTTCTGACTTCCCTTCCCCTGTTTCGCCAGCAACCGTCGCTGCCCTCACCGGCTCACCACTACCACCCGGCTCCCCCTTTTCCGCCTGGTCGCCGCCCCCGCTGCCGCCGGCGCCACTGTGGCCGCTGCTCCCCTGTTCCGGCCACCGCTCCCCTCCCCTTCCTCTGTTCTCTCTCTCTGTCCCTACTCCGACCGTCGCCGCCGTGGGCCGCCGCTCGAACGCCGGAGCTGCTGCTGTCCCGGCGACGTTGCTGCTTCTGTTCCGTCCAACTCGCCGCCGCCCGCCTTGCCACAACCCCGACGACGTTGCTGCTGCTTCCTTCCCCTGTTTCTCTCCCGTCGCCGTCGCTGCCCAGCCGCCGCCGGAGCTGCTGCCGTTCCGGCGAGGCCCCTGCTCACCCCTGCTACCGCCGAGCTGCTGCCGTCTCAGCCGGAGCTCCTTGCCGCCCGGCTGTGGCCGAGAGCCTCGCCGATCGCCGCCGCCGCTGTTGTCCCGACGATTTCTCCGCTCCCCCGCTCTGTTTTCGTTGCTCAAGTCGAGGTAAGCAACTCCCTAAACTTTGTCTAGGACATTGGGTACTAGTAGACTTGTTTAGGGACCAATTAGTGTGGATTGAGGGCTGTTTAAGGACTGATTGGGTTGCTAGATTTGCGGACTGATTATGGCTGGATTTTGAATGGTTTATGGCTGATTTGGTGATGGATTATCGCGGACCTCGATTGTTGGTCTGATGGAGTGACATCGGTTGGGTTATAGAGTGAAACGTGTGTTAAATCGTGTTGGAATGGCAAGCTATGTTGCGGTCGAGCGTTGCTGGATGTGTGGGCTGATTTGGTGCCCGAATTGCGTATGTTGCTTGTTGTTTTGATGGCTGGATTGTAGCGGGATGAGGGTTTTGATGGCTGGATTGTAGCGGGATGAGGAAGGGACGTTGGTTGGGTTATTGAATGAAATGCAGATTAGAATATGTTGGAGTGGCGAGCTGTGTCGTGGTGAATTATTGTTGGATTAGTAGGTTGATTTGACACCCGATTGGTGTATAATATTCGCTGTTTCTATGGCTGGTTGTTGTTGCCTTGAGATGACCGATTGTGAGTGTGTAATTGTGACTTTAATTGTTAGAATCTTGGTTGTTTGATGTGCTAAGCGTGGCTGATTTTGTGGCGGGTTATGGCTGAACTTGTGGCTTGTTTGATGATGGAATCTATGTCAAGAGTATTGGTTGTTCGTGCGTGATTCAAATGCTCGATTGGTGGTGGTTCGCGTTGGTCATTCGTGGTTGGGTTGACACAAATTATGTGGGCATGATTTACAATGATAGATGTAGTGCTTGTGCTAGCTTGTCGTGTAACTGGCATTTGGTTCGATTGAATTGTATGGCGTATGTGATTGCCTGAAAGCCCGGATTGATCGGAGGGCTGTCAACCTGTGGGGTGTTCACCCGGGTGGCGAGAAAGGACTTGTGGGGTGTTGACCTGGGTCGCGAGAAAGGACCTGTGGGGTGTTGACCCGGGTCGTGAGAAAGGTCCTGGAGCGTGTTGACGCGGGACAATGCCCGGATTGATCGGAGAGCTGCCAGCCTGGAGCATGTTGATGCGGGTGGCGAGAAAGGACCTGTGGGGTGTTGACCCAGGTCGTGAGAAAGTTGGATGGATGCGCATGTGTATTATACTTGATTGAATTAGGTGAATGTACATGTGTATGGTGCTCGAGTGATTGTGATATGTACGTGGGATGTTATTGCATTATAGTGTTTGACTAATATGCAAAGTTGGCGTGTGATTGGAGGCGAGGTAAGTATGTCTATGTGAATTCCAATTTGCCGACGGTTAGATTGCATGTTGAGACTTGTCTGGGTACGCATTGGTCTATGTGGGGTTTAGGTTGTCTGCTTATTGAGATTTATTCTCATTGTTGTATATTAAACAATTTCAGATCCGCGACCGTGATTGATTTGGAGATGTCGCCAAGGTACCATGGAGACCGGGGATAGGTCGGGTTACCCCGTCTTTTGAGCGCTCCGTTTTGGTAGAGGAGATAAGTTTAACAAACACCGTCCCTTTTTTATGAACGTGGTTTGAAGTTAGTAGCCTGGTTTAAGGTGATGTAAACGTGAAGGTTGTAAGTTATATTAAATGTATTCTTGTTTTGAGTACGTGCCTTTCGGCTACCCCTCCTTGATTGTTTCTTGTCTGGGTTGTTTAAATTTCGTTTCCGCTTGCGTACGACTTTGGGTGTTTTGTTTGGGTCGGCGACGCGTCCTGGGACGTCGCGTTCAATACGACCGTCGAAGTGGTGTTGCGAGTCCGTTGGGGTTCAGGGCGTGACAATATAACCACCAGCAAGTTTGATATTTGATGCTCATAAAATGCTTATTATTCAATCAATTATGTTTCTTTTTGCTTGACAATGCATGTCCAATCCCACAGATTTAAGGTCACGTTTCCCACAGATATATCACATGAGTAATGTTAAGAATGCGAAAACTAATTTACAAAATCAATAAATATAAAATGGAATGAGCTATTACATAAGCAATTTTGTATCTAACATCTCATAAGAGTATGTCATGTCTCTTGACGCAATCTTGTTAACTATTCTTCACATTGCTAGCATTAGTCATCCCTGAATAGGTAACAAAAACTGATTCCAGGATTTGGCATTTGATCTCAGAGGACATGGAAGGTGAGATATTGGAAAGTATCTTGCATTGACAAATAAGAACACATACGAGTTTCATTCCATCCCTCAGCATTATTCTGCTACTTGTAAGTGGTCTTCCTTCAAGGAAAAAATGTGTTTATGTGTAGATCCTTATGTGATCATGTGGCACCATTAGGTCCATAGCACTCACCTATGTCTTCTCAATACTAATCTTCACACCGTCTCACCAAAGGAATTCAATCTACAAGGCTATCTGATTCAGAATGTTCGTGTGAATCGGACTCATGTTTCTGCTTCTTTTGGGACATGTGATGCGCCTGCTGTTAAAGACCGTCCACAACCTCGGGATTCCAACGATGAGGCTGTATAATGTTACTGTTCTTTTGTTGGGTTCAATGTTGTATATTATCCTGGGATGTTTGTGGTGGTCTACGATAGGTTCGTCTATGTAAAAATGAGTTACGTTTGGGAGATCGTTAACTTGTGCCTTGGGAACTAAGTTGCCGGGTTTGGCGAGCTTAAGAGAATGAGCTTTCGGTGGACAAGATGCAGGATCTCCTACTTTATGAAGTGTTGTTGATATCCTTGAAGTCTGAACAAGTGATCACTACTCTGAAGTCTCTACGCATAGCCAGTTTAGAGAGAAATTGGAAAGGCTTAAGCTAGCTTACTCATCACTTAGAATGTGTCGCAAACCATAGTGCTGGTCTAAAGATTTCACTATGTTCATGGCTTTATTTGGACTGGCAGAGTGTCGTTGCGTCTCCCTTGGACTATTTCACGACACTGAGGAGTAGCCGCCCACTAGTCCTAAAGAAGAATCAGAAGTGCAAGAAGACAATCACTTGGTGCATCCATCTCCTGACAAAATTTACGATTTACAAGCAACATTCAATGAGGCAACAACGTTCATCAACTAGCTCACATCTATGGAAGAGTCAGAGGAACAATACAAAGAACAAAATGGAACAGCGATTACTATTTGTTACACAAAATAGTTTAATAACCACCTGTCGCCGTCCACTTAGCCGATGTTTACCAAGAAAGAGAACAGTTGGTCATAAAAAGCATGGTGACAATATGGCGGCAGCTTATATATTGTTAGCATTGTCGCGACCTACCCGTCGCGATCGGATTTAGGCCAAGAGGTATTTATCGATGGATATGAACAACGATTGGTTCGTTTGAATGGTGAACCAAATGGTTCATTAATCCAATGACCAAGGCACTTCCAAGTCTCATACCTCGCGCAATGAGAATTTTTTAATTTACACATTTGATTGGAGTCGCCACTAGCCATGATCAAGGGTCGGCTAGAAACCCTGATCGAGATGCGAGAGTGTCGTCTCGATACGCGCGAAAACCAGAGATTCTAAAGTTCGGGTACTTGATTACACTAGCGATCTAACTAGTACCCTTTTGGTACCTAAACTTGAATGTTCGCAAACTAACGTACCGGGCAGCTTATCGAAAAAAAAAAAGCTCAGATAATACCAATCAATGTATTAAAAGTGCGCAACCAGATAATCATAAAGAGAATAAACAACCAGCGACCTAGCATCGTCTCTAAAAAAGAAAATGCAATCAAAAGCCCTAAGGTAAAACCCTAATGGCTTATCCGATTTTTGAGAATTTTTTAGAGGATTTTTCTCATTTTTCATTTTTTTTGGAGTTTTTAAACCTAAAATCTAGTGAAATTAAGCCCAAAACTGATTTCTAAACATTTCCTAATTTTCTGATTTTTTTTGGAATTTTTCTGAATTTTTTAATATGTTTTGAATTTTCTAAATTTTTTAATATTTTTTATTTAATTAATTTTTTTGGGACTTTTAAATATTTTCGAATATTTTTTGGAATTTTTAAAATTTTAATTTTTTTTTGAATTTTGAAAATTTTTATTAATAAAATAAAGATTTCGGACTGGGTCCCCTGACCCGATCGCCCTACTACTCGACCCGGGTTTCCGACCCAACCCGGGGACCCCATTTTCATTTCTTTTCAATATTTTTGTATTCTTCTTCCTTTTCCCTTTTTTTTGTTGTTTCTCTTTTCTTTTTTCCTTTTTCTTTTCTGGTGTTCTCTTCGTGTCTTCTGCCTAGAAGTCCCACTGAATGTCCTCTTCTCGGTGGTTCACCGGCAACTACCACACCGAACCAAAATTGGCCTCCTTGATGGGCGCCGACGTCGAATCTGCTTCGACCAGAATCACGACACCACCATCACCGAGCCACCCTCCTTAATCCACAACCACCAGCCACCAAAACGCCAACTTTGATGACCGTTTTTTTCACTTTTCGATCACCAGATTTCCCACGGCAACAATACGTGCTAAAACGCTAACAAACAGACATACACGCATATGAAACGGGGATAGTGAACCAACGGTAGCGGCATCAGACCACGGGCGACGCCGGCATGGGGGGGAATAGATCTCTGGCGAAGGTCTCATCCATGGCCGACTCAAACGACGAGAGATATGCCACGAAACCGAAAGAAGTCACAACAACAAAAAAACACAAAGTCAGACAACATTCGACAAATATGAGAACTAATCAAGCATAAAAATCTAGTTCAAGTCGCTGGTTCCACAAAAAATCATTCGGACCCCATTTTGGCATTTCGTCGAACATGTGATGTGCGAGTTCATAAAAATGTTTTGGAGTGAGATTTGATGCGGTTTTTAACTCAAACGTGAAGTGAGAAGATCCATACAGCCATATTTTGCCACAATAAGGTCTCGGTTTGCATAACAATGACCCAAAAATGCAAGATCAGACTCGGGGTCCTAAACTCAAAGAGGTTCATTAATACATTTCAACGAACGGGTGGGATGTACCTAAAACTAATGGCTACTAAGTCGATCTCGGTGGGATTTGAAAGCTCTTTCTTGATAAAGACTGTTCAAGAACACTCATAGGAGATTAAAAAAAGTTGTCCTCATTTTGTGGTGCCGGGCGACCACTGAATAGGTTCGGTGTGCCCGGCACCCGAGAGGCAGGGGAGTAAAAAGCGAAACAGAGGAGTAGAAACAAAACCCACCTGGTTCGTGTCTATCCGAGACTAAGCACGGTGGCTGGGGGGTTCGGTGGCATCTCGGGTGGTCCTTCGGCGAGCGGGTAAGACCCAGAGTCAACGATATCGCTTGGCTCTCTCTCGGCCTCCTCTTTCTTCTCTCTAACTCTCTCTGTTTTTCCTTGTATTCAACCTCTCGCGCGAAGCTCCGACGACCGGATATGAAGAGCTGGTTGACTCGGGATCTCGATGCACGGCGGAGAGGGGGAGGGGATTCGCCAGACCACCTCCTTTTTATGGAGCGGCCAGAACACTCCCCTCTCTAAAGACCCCTCAATCCTCCTTCTCTTCTTCAAACTTTCTTTCTTCGTTCTCTCCCAGACCTGCCTCCGACGCTTTGCTCTCTCCTTTTTCTCTCTCGGATCCCTCGGTTCTCTCTCTCGCTCCGTGGAACCCCCCATTCTTCACGACCAGATATGGTCTTAAAGGAGCTGGCCAGCACGCCCGCGTGGCCCCTGCTGCCGGCAAGCGTGCATGGCCTCTGCCACCGCCAAGCTGCCGCGGCCGGTCGATCTCGCGACCCGCGGATCGTGCTGCCATCCCCGTGCCTCTGGCTCCTGTTCTGTTCGTCCTCTGGCTTCTGTTCCGTTTCTGTTCTTCCTCCCCGTACGTTCTGAAGCGTTGAGTGGGGATGGGGGAGCTGAACAGTGTGCGGGCCGGGCCGTGGGAAATGAGCCGGCTCGCGCGGAAATAGAAAATGGAACATGGGCCGCGCGCAAGAAAAAGAAGGGGGAAAAAGGATGGGCCGACGAACCTGGCCCGGAAATCTCCTTCCTTCTTTTTTTTTTTATAAATAATTTTGTGTCCTAATAGGCCCTATTAATGCAAATGCACCTATTGTCTACATGCCATGCAATTTAAAGAAAATATTTTTGGTTTAGGGGTTAGAAAATTAAACCCTAATTTTATGCGATAAAACTCTAAATGGACTAGGCAAAATTTAGGTGTCAACAGCTGCCCCTCTTTGAAGGAAAGCTCGAAGAGGTTCCTTTCAAAGATAAGAGACACTTAAATTTTGTTCACAGAGGGCATGGGAAGATGCATGAGAGATGATTGATTGATTGATTGATTTTTTTATTTTATTTTTTTTTTTGATTTTTTTGATTTTTTACCTGCCATGCGGTGTAAAAACGGGCTTTCGGCTACGTGAAGTCTTGTTATGTAAAGTAGGAAACTCTGGGCTGCGAAAGCTCGCCAGGTCGATGGGGTGCTCCGGGCTGCGAAAGCTCACCGAGCAAGGAAAAAGACAAACTATGGGCTGCGAAAGCTCGCCAGGTCGATGGGGTGCTCCAGACTGCGAAAGCTCGCCGGGCAAGGAAAAAGACAGACTCTGGGCTGCGAAAACTCGCCAGGTCGATGGGGTGCTCCGGGTTGCGAAAGCTCACCGTGCAAGGAAAAAGACAGACCCTGGGCTGCGAA